CTTTTAAAGCATCAAGGCCTTAGATTTACAGATAACACTCCTGGATATTACGGACATTTGAGAAATGAATTCCACTTTGCTTTGTGGAACGTACTTATAGCAAAGAAAGCCTAAAGAAATAACACTGACCTTCTGGTTGATTTCTGCAAAGACTTTGTTGGCATGCAGTTGTCTGGTCCACTTCCTCAGATGTACAGGGCACTGTTGTACATGAAAAGGAGATTAAGTACAACTGTTAACAGCAGTCAAGCAAACAAGTCCTACATTCTGTCTGGGCTGGGAGTCGTATGATTCACTGCAACTCAAGTCATTAACAAAAATGATGGGGTGTTTGCAGCAAACTTGAGGATTCTCTCAAGTAAAAATGGCAGAATAGGGTTCTTGGCACAGCGATGGCACTATCAGTCGCATCACAACGGTATCTTGAGTCGTCACTCTGCGTGTAATGTCTAGCTACTCTGACGGGTGTTGAGTTATAAATTTCTGATGACTGTTTCTGCACTTGTGTCAAAAATCACAGTTTTATTTGGGGGCCCGAGTGGCTCTGCGCAGGAAACGCGTACTGACATTACGCTTGCTGAACAGTATGCTGATGTGCTGTGGAGCTAAGTCACTTGTCAAAACAGGCCTCCCTAATGAGAGCACACATCACTTTTTTTTTCCCTGCTTGAGCTGATTTTTGTTGCAGGCCAACAGTGTCTGTTCGGCTGTTTCACTATCCCAGTCGAAACATGCCGTTTCTCCAGTTCCCCGAGTATAAGTAGGCAGAATTAATGGACACCAGTGTTTGCAGATGATGCTGTAATTGTCAGGCAAGATTAATAATAATAAGAAAAGACATTAACATCTGTTTAGATGATTACATGTGGCAGCAGTAATGGGCAAAGTTTGTCGCGGAACCATGTTAAAAGACTGTGAACCAGCTAAAACCTGGTAGCTACATACACCAACAGTGGGTAAACGAATCACTTTAAAAACACTGCAGAACACCTCCATGTAACATTAGTCAGTCCAACTGGAAAGAGAATAACACCAACACAGTTCATCCTTGGTGTTGACTTATAACTGTAAAAATGTAAAAGTGTGTAAAGAATAAGTGAAAAAAAAATAGATGCATTAGTACGGAAACCACTGCAATAACATACAAAACATCCCAAGATCATTTTTAT